GACAGCAAGTGTGCCCACATGACCCAACTATACCCACACCTCCTGCAGCCCCACCTACTTACACCAACTGGCCAACTATAGGCAACAACCAACACAAGCCTGACTCAACCTCAAATGCTCTTCCATGAAGAGCTAACAGAGATCTGTGCACCCACTCTCATTCTCTATCACATCCACCAGGAGACAGGTGGTAAGTGCATAAGTGCTGCCAACTAATGAACAGAGGAGCACGGTACCCTGCTTACTCATGTATGTCAAAACAAAACAATGGGAAAAATAATCCTGGGCGAATCACACCAACATACAATCAGCAATTAAATATAAATGCAATGTCACAATGTCTCAGAGACAACAGACCATCACAGTACACACAAAGAAGCAAGATAAAGTAATAGAAACAAGGGACCAAGATACAGACCCAGAAAACATCCCTGAGGAAGAAGCAGCATTTAACTCCCTGATAAGGAATTCAAAAGAATATCTGGGTAACTTCAACAGACTGTGAAACAGATCAATGAAAATACTGACAAAATTAAGGAAAACATAGACAAAACCCTAGAACAACTTCAGAAGACAATACAAGTACAAAATGACCAAATAAATGGAAAACTAGAAAAGACACAAAGCCTACAGACAGAACTACAGAAAATTAATACTAAAATTTCAGAAATAGGTTAACACATTAAATGGGCAAAGGAGTAGAACTGAATCAATGGAAGACAAAATTAGGGAGACTGAAGACAAATACCTCAGCATTACTTTGTTAAGGGATCAGTCAGAAAAAAGATTAAAATAAAATAAACGAAGCCTAAAATTCATGTGGGATATCATCAAGAGTAAGAATCTACTTGTAATCAGGATTCCAGGATGGGAACAGACAAATAAAACCACAGAGAACCATGAAAGAAAAAATATTCCAACCAAGAATTATATACCCAGCAAAACTGTCCCCTCAAATATGATGGGGAAATTAGGACATTTCCAGGTAAGCAAAAATTAAGAGGATTTGTTAAAACCAGACCAACCTTATAAGAGATGTCAAAGGGAGTCCTTTGAATGAAGAACCAACAACAGCAAACCACCACCAAGCATTAACACATATGGTGACATAACCCAGAAACCAACCCAATTATGGAAGTATCCAAAGTTAAAAAAAGTTACAAGACTATAAACAGGGAAAGAGACATCAACTGGCAAATGAGGACAACTACAAACCAAAAAAAAGGATAGTTATAGAACTTCTCAATGGTGAAGAAGTTAAGACAATTGCAAGATAGAATGGACTATTCTAAACTTGGGAAGAAAATTAAAAATCTCAAGGTAACCTCAAAGAAAAATAAACAACAAAATGACAGCAACAAATTCATACTTGTCAAATAATTACACTGAATGTCAATGGATTAAATGCACCACTCAAGAGACGGAGAGTTGGAGAATGGATAAGAGAACAAGACCTATCAATATGCTAAGAGACATACCTTAGAGACAAAGACAAAAGCAGACTGAAAATCAAAGGCAGGTAAAAGATATATCAAGCAAATGGCAATCAAAAAAGCAGAAGTGGAAATATCAACTTCTGATAAAATTAATTTTAAGACAAAACCACCATAAGAGATAAGGAAGGGCGTTATACGATAATTAAAGGATCAATTGAACAAGAGGACTTAACCATAATAAACATCTAAACACCAAATGAAAGAGCCCCAAGATACATAAATCAAACTAACAGAATTGGAAAGAAATAGATGACTCCACAGTAATAGTAGGAGACTTTAATACACCACTTTCAATAAAAGATAGAAAAAAACTGGAAAGAAACTAAAAAAAGACACAAAAGAACGAAACAACACAATCCACCAATTTGACCTTATAAATACCCACAGACCACTTCACCCAACAACAGCACAATATACATTTTTTCCCAGTGCACATGGAACATTTTCAGGAAAGACCATACGCAAGGCCACAAAGCAAGCCTCAATAAATTTAAAAACACTGAAATACTGCAAAGCATCTTCTCAGATCACAATGCTTTAAAATCAAGAAGCATTGACAATTACTGGTGACTAAAATGCAAACATTGGAAACAAGAACAATCAATAGTTTGTTTTGTTTTTTTTTGGGGGGGTGGGTAGCAGCTTTGTCCATATTTGTGCCCATTTCAAAGAAAGGTGACTCAAAAGAACACAGAAATTATTGAACACTATCATTAATTTCACATACAAGTAACATTTTACTGAAAATAATTAAACAATGGTTGGACCAGTACATCAACAGGGAACTGCCAGAAATGTAGGCCAGATTCAGAAGAGGATGTGGATGTCAGATGTATCTTGGCTGAAAGCAAAGAATATCAGAAAGATGTTTACCTGTATTTTATTGACTCTGCAAAGGCATACAACTCTGTGGATCACAGCAAACAACAGATAACACTGCAAAGAATGGGAATTCCAGAACACTTCATTGTGCTCATGAGAAACCTATACACACATCAAGAGGCAGTTCTTTGAACAAACAAGAAGATACAACATGGTTTAAAATGAGAAAGGTGTGTACCATGGTTCTATCTTTTCAGCACACTTATTCAATCTGCATGCTGAGCAAATAATCTAAGAGGCTAAACTATATGAAGAACAACATGGCATAAGGATTGGAGGAAGACTCAATAACAACCTGTGATCTGCAGATGACACAACCTTGCTTGCTGAAAGTGAAGAAGACTTCGAGCACACATACAACAAACATCAAAGACTACAAAACTACAGCCTTCAGTATGGGTTACATCTCAACATAAAGAAAACAAAAATCTTCACAATTAGACCAATGAGCAACATCATAATAAATGTGAAATGACTAAAGTGGTCAAGGACTTCATTATCCTTGGATTCACAACCAATACCACAATTGAAGCAGAAGTTACGAAATCAAACGATTTACCACACTGGGCAAATGTACTGCAAAAGACTTATTTAAAGTGTTAAAGAGCAAGGATGTCACTTTGAACATTAAGGTGTGCCAAACCCAAGCCATTGCTTTTCAACAGCCTCATATGCATGTGAAAGCTGGACAACGAGTAAGGAAGATCAAAGAAGAATTGATGGATTTATATAATTTATATAATTTGTATAATGGTATTGGAGAAAAATGTTGAGTATATGATGGCCTTCCAGAAGAATGAACAAATCTTTCTTGGAAGAAATACAGCAGGAATGTTACTTACCAGGAAGGTTGGCCAGACTTTGTCTTTTGTATTTTGGTCATGTTACCAGGCATAACCAGTGACTGGAGAAAGATATTAAGCTTGGTAAAATAGAGGGTCAGAAAAAAGGAAGACCCTCAATGTGATGGATTAACACAGTGGCTGCAACAATACACTCAAGCATAGTAATAGTTGTGAAGATGGTGCAAGACCAGTGTTTCTTTCTGTTGTACGTAGGTTCACTATGAGGCACATCCAACTCTATCTATGGCATCCAATAACAACAACAACTAAGTTTACTGGAGCTGTCTGAACGATTATTACCCCTTATCCCAGCCAAGAATAATAAATAAAAATAGAACTACCAGCATATGAGCCAGCAATTCCACTCCTAGTTATATACTTATAAGACTTCAAAGAGAATCAAACAGTGATTTGTATACCAATGTTCACTGCAGCACTATTCCCAACAGTCAATAGGTGGAAACAATCTAAATGCCCATCAACAAATGAATGGATAAACAAAATGTAGTATATACATACAATGGAATGCTATTTAGCCAAGAGGCTAACTGAAGTCTTGATTCATGCTACAATATGGATGGAGACTTAAGACACTATGGCTGGCACTTCAAACCCAGCAACCACTCTTCAGAAGGAAGGTTGGACAATCTACTTCCATAGCGATACTGCCTCAGAAACCCAAGGAGGGGTCGCTATGAGTCGGGTCCGACTCGACAGCACAGTAACAACAACAAACAGTGCGTGAAATAAGTCAATCACAAAACGATAAATATTGTGTGACCTCACTTACATAGAAAAACAAGAACAGGCAAATGTATGGAGACCAACATTTATTAGTGAGCTCTGGTAGCATAGTGGCTAAGACACTTGCCTGCTAACCAGACGGCTGGCGGTTCAAACCCACCAGCCACTCCTCGGAAGGAAGGTTGGGCAATCCTACTTCCGTAGTGATACTGCCTCGGAAACCCAAGGAGGGGTCGCTATGAGTCAGGGCTGACTTGACGGCACATAACAACAACAACAACAACCAGGGACAGGAGGGAGGAGGCAAGAGGGGTTATTGTTTATGGAGTACTGGGAGCTCTGGTAGCACAATGCCTAAGGCACTTGACTGCTAACCAGAGGCTGGCGGTTAAAACTCACCAGCCACTCCTCAGAAGGAAGATGGCCAATCTACTTCTGAAGTGATACTGCCTCAGAAACCCAAGCAAGGGTTGCTATGAGTTGGGTCTGACTCAAGAGCACCTAACAACAACAACAAGTTTCAGTTTACCATGATGGAAAAATTACAATGATTAATGTCAGGGATGTGCAGCTGAGTACTATTAAATGCTATCAATAACTTGTATACCTGTAAAAAGCTGAACTGGCAAAAGCTGTATGACAGATTTATTGACAAGAAGAAGAATGGCTGCTGAGGCTGCTTATGTACAACCGAACACCTCATGGGATTTGGTCCCTTGGTATAGAGGTTTAGGGTCACAGTTTCATGGAACATCCTAGGTAGTTGACCCAATAACGTGTTTAGTGTTTCTATCCTACCTCCTAGTTCATCACATAGGGCTTAAGGTCTTAAAAACTTGCAAGGGGTCACCCAATGTCAACAATTAGTGCAGTGTAGTGAATTACTTAATATGGTCCTTCCAGGCATAGTCCTCCATTTTATGATGTATTACAAATCCTGCTTTTATGCCTGTAGTTATTGTTCCATTTTAGGGTTAGTTGTTATGTTAATGAGGCAGAATCAGGGTGGGATGTACCTGAAGTCTTGCCTTACCAGAGGGTGTGACTGAGTTACCACTCTTAATTTCCTTGAGAGTATATACATAAATGGTCAGGCAAAGTTCCCGCTCTTGCTCTGGATCCTGTATCTGGTTCATCATCATCTCACCCATAGTTCTTGGGGCTTGAGAAAGTTGCCAGTTCTCTGACTTTCTGATTTGGGTTCATTGGCCCCTGAAACCACTGAGTGAGGAGACTCCTCAAGACCATGACCTGACCCAAGGATTTGATACTTAGCAGCCTCCACAACCACAGGAGCCATTTCCTTGGCAGTTCATAAATTCTGTGAGATGTTACAATGAATACAGAAACCTAAGCTGAGAGGGATACTATTAAGGGGAGGAGTGACTGATGTTAAAGACAATGAAATGGTACTGCAGTTTGGAAAAGTTGGACATCTGAGAAGTCTTTAATCTCTGCCTCATAGGAACCAGTCTTATGCTGATCCTTCTAAATGAAATTATACAAGCAATTGGTCTCTCTTCACCTGGCATACAAGAGGAAGAAGAGTCGAGTCAACAATAGGCAGAGGATACAGAATGTGTGACTGCCCCTACGAACAACTCTCTGCTTTGCCAAGAGACCAGAAGAAGTGAATAGTTTCTGAATACTTTGATCAAAGAGTCTATCGAAGAATCCTAATGAAAGGGAAAAAATGTAAATTCAAACTCTCGTGGAATTGAGGCTTTCCGGAGCCATGAAAGTTGAGTGAGCCCCTGAAATTATCACCCTGGGATAATCTTTAAACCTTAAACCAAAAATATCCCCTGAAGTCTTCTTAATACCAAGTAAGTTTAGCTTACCTAGTAAAAAAGATCTGTCTTGATCACTGTGCTCTTTTAAGAACTATATACATGGGATCAAATTGAGAATAGCAACTCAAAAGATTAGATCAGAACTTTAGGAGGCAGTGAGTTGTGTGAGAATGGTTGCATAACTCAAAGAATGAAATCAACATCTTTGAATTGTACATGTAGAAACAGTTAAATTGGTACATACTCTGCTGTGTATATTCTCAACAACAAAAATTAATTATTAAGAAAAAAATACACTGGGCAGTTACTACACCAAATGAAACATGGTAAGAGAAATCATAATGATTCTACCTGTATGAACTGGTAGAACAAAAAATTCGAAACAATCTAAATGCCTGTTCTGTTTCCACATGTTAGGTATCTGTCAGAGCAGCACCCCACTCTCAGTACCATATTCTGTTCTGGTTACCTAGTGCTACTCTAACAAGAATATACCACAAATGGGATGGGTTGAAGAAACAGGAGTTTATTCTCGTACAGTTCAGGAGACTAGAAGTCTGAGTTCAAAGCATCAGGCTCTAGGGGCTGGGTGAAAGCCCCTCAACCTTGGGCTTCAGCTCTGCCTCTTGCTCCCAGCCCACTGAAGCTAGAGGCATCTTTTCACTCAGGCAGCTACTGGCTGCTTAAACTACAAGCCCAAGGTCGACAAAGAAAATGGTACAGTCTCAATGTTACTAAACCACACGGCAGGCCACTAATTCAAGTCCATTTTAAGTCCAAGGTCAGCAGAGCATGGCAGGCTGCTGAGCAATGACACAGCTACATGCAGGGTTTAAGCGTGCCATAAGCTAGAGACCATTACCCAAGGCTTCTTCTTATATACAGGAAGCAGACCACATCCCAAGGCAGTGACTCAACTGCTCACAGTAGATTTCACTGTGGAGTTGATTACCAGTCTCATCATGGGGAATATTACATCCAGCTGCTGAGCTACTCAACCAGGCCTAGTCAAGTTGACACACAAACTTAACTACCACAATACCCATCAAAAAAGAAACTGGTGATAAAGACACTGAGAAGTACACAAGTAAAAGAGACAATTTCAGTAAATGTTATAACATGTACAATTTTGCAGCAGTAATACAAACAACCCAAATATATGTGTGTGGCAACACAGACAGATATGAATGCATTTATGTGTATACCAAAACACCAAACTTACTGCTATCAAATTGATTCCAACTCATAGTGACCCCCTTCTTTTCTGAGGCAGTAAATCTTTACAGAAGTAGAATGCCCAGTCTTCCTTCTGCAGAGTGGCTGGTCAACTTAAACTGCCAATTTTCCGGTTAGCAGTCAAATGCCTTATGCACTATGCCACTAGTGCTCCTTATGTATGTGTATATGAAGGCATATGCAAGTAAATGCACTTGAATATATAGGTGTATCTGTAGGCAGATATATATACATGTTTGTGTACCCTGCATATATATCCACATATATAACAAACCACGGAGGAGGCACAGTTACATATGCTTCCCAGACATTTTCAAACAACTCATGGGATTGGTTTACTTGCTTAGCAAATTGGGACTATAATCCTGAGGTAAAACTGGCATAACAGTTCACAAAGATAATGTTCTGTATCCTAGTTTGGTGAGTAGTGCCTAGGGTCTTAAAAGCTTGTGAGCAGCCATCTAAGACAACTATTGGTCTCTACTCAAATGGAGGAAAGGAGCATGAAGGAAATCAAAAGCTCAAACAAGAAACTAATCCACAGGATTAAGAGCCCACATGAACCACAGCCTCTTTCTAACCTGAGACAAAAAAGAACTAGATGGTATCTGGTTACAACTATCAACTATTCTGACTAGGGACACAACAGAAGGTCCTGGATAGAATGGGAGTGTGGGAGTGAAATGCAGAACAAAACTCAAATTCCCTTTTTTTTTTTTTTTTAAACAAATGAGTGGGAGGGCCAGACCTACTGGACTGGGAAAGACTAAAGGAACCCACAAGACTACTGCCTCAAGATATCCTTTGAACCACAGCTTCAAATTATTTCATTACAGTTCAATCTTCTTCTGAGAATTGCATTTTCACCCCAAATATATATCTTTTTCACTCCAGATTTATATATTTTTTCACCTCAGGTGAGATTCCTTGGGGATTTTGTTAAAATGTAGACTCCGACTTAGAATATTTGGAGTGGATTCTTATAGATTCCCTCAGTTATCTTGTTAAAATGTACATTCTGATTCAGTATATCTGAGGTGGAAATCCAAGTTTTCAGCAGGGTTTGACCTAGAATGAACCAGATCAATGTCCTGCTTTGAACTTGGAATTGAAACTATGTCCGCAGGTAACCTTTCAACCAAATAATAGATTGGCTTATAAAATAAATATCACCCATGAGTAATGTGTTCCCTTAAACCACTGCATGAGACCAAGGAGTCAACATTTACCCAAAATTAAATATGAGAAGGGAAGGAGAGGAAGGGAAGCTAGATCCATGGAAACAGGACAAATAGAATGTAAATAATGAGAATGCAGATACACAGTAAAAACTGTAACCAATGGCATGGAATAATCTGTATAAAAACTGTTTAAGAAGAACCTAGTTTGCTGCAAAAATTTTCACCTAAAACACAATAAAGTATTAATAAAAGGGGAAAAAAGTACTAGTTAAATAAATTATGGCAGAGCTATAAAGTAGAAGTATTAAACAACTAAAAAACAATGATTCAAAATTTTATGTATCTATGAAAGATTTCCTAATTATATGGGAAAAAAAGACACAATATGTTGCCATTTGTGTGTCTGTGCATATATAAGTATAACTGATTGCGTACTGGCTTATATATATGTAAAATACCACTGGATGAAAAGAAATGGACAACATCCTGGGAAGAAAACAAAGAATAGAAGGAAAGCTTACTTTTCACTGTCTATCCTCTTTTATTTTGTACTATGTACATGTTTGTACCTATTTAAAAATTAAATTATTAAAAAGATGATGCAGTCACACAACAGAATAATATGTCATTAATAATGATGCCATAAACATGTTAACATATAAAAAGTCTATAAATGCTAAACCTAACTAACAAATCATTGTTAGACCTAAGACAATACCTGTATTAATAATCTAGATAAAAGAAATTGAAACCAACTGTTAAGAACTGTCATTCAACCAACAAAATATACATTATAGTAATTATACACACACACACACACACACACACACACACGGGAGCTCTGGTAGCATAGTGCCTAAAACACTTGACTGCTAACCAGAAGGCTGGCGGTTCAAACCCACCAGCCACTCCTCGGAAGGAAGACTGGGCAATCTCTTCTGTAGTGATACTGCCTCGGAAACCCAAGGAGGGGTCACTATGAGTCAGGTCCGACTTGATGGCACATAACAACAACAACAACAACAACACACACACACACACACATATATATATATATACACACCATTCTGACAAGATTTCCCATTAGTAAGAATGGAGTTCCCCTTTTTTCCTTCACTTCCTTAAGTGTGATATCAAATTTTTAATACAATCAGAAAGGAAACATTCTAGAAAAGAGTCAAAATATTAAACATTTTATTAATACCTTCCTAATTCTTCTTCTATGAGCGAAACATCGCTTCAATAGTTTTTTGTCTAGTAAGAGATCAAGTTATTCTCCACTCTGACTTATTCAGTAATCATTTACCACATAACCTAGAGAAATTAATTTGCCTTCTGAAGTAATTAACTATAATGTAATGCTATTTTTGTTTCTGTGCATTTGTTTTGGCATGTTTGAGGCCTGTTTCCTTCTTTCACTAACCGCTGGTACTGCATATACAGGCTCATTCATTTACAGAGTTACATTTCTGATTTTACAACCTAAATTGCAAACAAGAACAATCCTAGCAAGTTCTTCATTGATAACTGGCCCAGAAAACATGCCTAATGTGGGCTGAATGGTAGAAAAGTGTATGCCAGGTATCAGATAAGCAGAAAATAAAAAGGTATGAAAGTAACAGTCACCACACTAAAAACTTTACCAGGAAGTTTTGAGATTGAAAATTTAGGGGAGAAAATAAGTTTTGGAAACTAAGGGATGCATTTAAATGTGGAAATTCAGTAGTATGTGCAATCATTTTGCCAAACCCTTTCCATGTCTTTTTGGCCTGTTTTAACTGAACTCTGTGCTCACTGAAGCAAAAGTGCTAATGTAAAAATTGCCCAGGTAGAACAATACTTGGGTTTAAGAGCAAATGACAGATCTTACATTCCCAGATGGTCATACCAGGAAGTATGAAAGCCTCGGGCATCCTCAGGACTTAAATAATACCACTGGCA